GGTTATTGCCAATGTTTTCTTCTAACAGTTTCAGAGTTTCAGGTTTCACATTGAGGTCTTTGATCCATTGGAGTTGACTTTTGTGCAAGGTGAAATATAGGGGTTTAGTTTCATTTTTCTACAGGTGGAGATCCAGTATTGCCAGCACCATTTGCTGAACATGTTGTCTTTCCTCTTGGCCCCTCTGTCAAATATCAGATAGCTGAAATTGCATGTACTCATATTTGGGTCTTCGATTTTGTTCCATTGATCTCCTGGTCTTTTTTGTGCCAGTACCATGTTGTTTTTATGACTATAGCTCTGTAATACAGTTAAAATCTGGTATAATAATCCCCCCAGCATTGCTCTTAGTGCTCAGGCTTGCTTTGGTTATCTGAGGTCTCTTGTGGTTCCATATGAATCTTAGGATGGTTTTTTCCAATTCTGTGAAAAATGTCATGGGGATTTTGATTGGCATTGCATTGAATCTATAAATGGCTTTCGGTAGGATGGTCATTTTCACAATATTAATTCTTCTGATCAATGAGCATGGGAGGTCCTTCCATCTTCTGATGTCTTCCTTAATCTCTTTCTTTACAGATTTAAATTTTTAATTGTAGAGATCTTTAATGTCTTTAGTCAGGTTTATTCTGAGAGAGATTTTTTTTTTTTTTTGCAGCTATTGTGAAGGGGAGTGTTTCCACGTACTCTTTCTCTGATTGCTTGTTTTTGGTACGTAGAAAGTCTATCGACTTTTGTAGATTAATTTTGTATCCTGCCACTTTACTGAACATGTTAATAATTTTTAGGAGTTTTCTGGTGGAATTTTTGGCATCTCTTTGATATAATATCGTCTGCAAAATTGGATAATTTGATCTCTTCCAATTATTACTCCTTTAATTTCTCTTGTCTTATTGCTCTTTGTATTGCTTCCAGGACTCTCTGAAGGGCTGGTTTTGTGGACATGAATTCTTTCAGCCTATTTATGTCATGGAAGATTTTTCTTTCCCCTTTGACTATAATAGACATTTTGGCTGGGTAAAGTAATCTGGGTTGGCATCTGTGGTCATTTAGAGCTGGGAATACTTTGGTCCAGGCCCTTCTGGCTTTCATAGTTTGCACTGAAATGTCAACTGAAATCCTGATGGGTTTTCCTTTATATGTGACTTGTTTTCTTTTGTTCGCAGCTTTCAGTATTGTCTCTTTGTTCTGTACATTTAGTGTGTTTACTATGACGTCCTGTGGAGAGTTTCTTTTCTGGTCCTGTCTGTTTGCATTCTATATGCTTCTTGTATTTGTATGGGTCTTCCACAATTCTGTTGAAGATCTGGTCCATGCCATTATCTTGGGATTCTTCTCCTTCCTGTATGCCTGTGATTCGTAAGTTTGGTCTTTTTATGTGTCACACAATTCCTGCATATTCCATTCTTGTGCTTTCTTAACTTTTTCATCATCTTTGCTTGAGTGATCTATTTGTCTTCCAGTCTTGATACTCTGTTTTCATTTCGTTCATCCTATTGGTGAGGCTTTCTCCTGTCGTTTCCAATTGGCTTACTAAGTGTTTCACTTCCTTCTTCATTTCAGCCTGAGCATTCTTCAATATTTGTAACTCTTTTCTGAATTCATTCAAAAGTTTATCCCTATCTTCCAATAGTTCTTTGATTTCTTTGTGTGTTCTTTAAATTCACTGAATTCTTTCTGTACTCCTCTAGAGGACTATTGGTACTTGGTGGGGATATATTATTTTGTGTTTTCATGTTATTATTTATTCTCTGTGACTTTGACATGTGAATTTCTTTTGTAGTTTCTGATTCTTGTGTGAGACTCAAGCCTTCCTTTGTTGAGTTTAGGTCTGCTTCTTTTTGTAAACTTTATGTTTTTTTGTGGTTTACTTCTTGGGAATGAAAAGCTGGTTGGTCTAGGCTTCAGGTTCTCTCTTTTGTTTTTATATTGGAGTGGCCAAATTGCTTTTGTCTTCAGGAGTTCCCACAGAGGCCCAAGTCAGATGAGGATCAGGTGCTCTCAGGCTTTCTCCTAAGGTCTGGATCCCTCCAGGAAAGATACTTCCCTCAGGAATTTGAGGGCTGGGCTGGCCTGGGAGCAGGGCCCAGGAAAGATGCTGGTCTCAGGAAGCTGGTGGCTGTGCCACCCAGGGATACAAAAGGAGGTGGGGGTAGGAAGAGGCCCCAAGGGCTCCTGGGAACTACTGGGAGGAACTGGGTTGGTCTGGATGCAAAGAATCAGAAAACAGTGGTGGCTCTAGGCCGGGAGGTCAGCCCCGGTGTCTGGGGTGCCAAGACAAGAAATGGGCCAGTACCCAGGCTAGGAGGAGAGATGGGGCAGGGGAGCTGGGAGGGTGAATGAGGCTGGCGGGGTCAAGGTGGAATGAATGCCCTGGACTTACCAGGAAAGGTGCTGGCACCTTTTTGAGGCAGGGTCTCACTATCCAGCCTCAGCCTCTTCAGTGCTGAGTTAGTAGGTGTACACCATCATGGTGTTCCCACTAACAAAAACTCATTTGTTTGTTGTATTCTGGGGTTTTGGTGTGTGTTTTTTGTTTTGTTTTTCTGTTTTTTGAGATGGGTCTCATGCAGCCCTGTCTGGCATAGAACGCTAAGAGATTGGCCTGCCTCTGTTTCCAAGTGCTAGGATTACAGATATGCACCACCATCTACCATAAATCTTAATTTCTTCTCAGGAAGCAGTGCAGTCAGAGAGAAACCTGCATTCCTGTTGCCCCTGCAGCTGGAGGTGGTCAGATGGCCTATTTTTGCCAATGTAATCTAAGCTGCAGTATTAGGTGGGCACCTAGGAGGACAGTTTGAGCAGAGGTGGAATACTGTCGTAAGGCTTGTATGAAATACTGCAGCCATGAGGAATAGAACCTTGTGGAGACAGACGCCTCTGCTGCAAATAAAGTCTTACTAAAACACAGCTACTCATTTATGTTATTATCTATGAGTTACTTTTTGCACTTACAAGGGCAATTTAGTTGTTGCAACAGAGACTATTTGGCCTATGAATCCTAAAATATTTCCTAGTTTGCCTTTTACGGAAAGTTTTCTGACCTCTGAGTTACACTAACCCCTTCATTTTTTACATGAGGAAACAAAGCTCATGAGGTTAATAAAGTCAGTTAATGGAAAAGTCAGAATCACTCCCTGGCTGGGTATCTTGACATTAAACTGTTCTCTCTAAGGGATAGGAGAAAGATCACCATGGCAATAAGTAGATGATTTTTAGAATTCCAGCAGCCACACAAGAATGGTGAAGATGGGAAGAAAAGCCTTGAAAGATACTCATTTAATGAGATGCTCAAAGTCCCAAGTTAAACCTGCATCTTTCTTTGGGTTCCCCCGCCTCAGCCTGGTACAGGCGATGACAGCACCTCCATCATACCTTAATGGTGTACTTGTAGGCCTGCTCAGCTTCCAGTTGCCGTCCAGCCTGAGAAAAAGCACAGTGTCTGGTGATGACAGAGCTTCACAGATACGGTGGGCAAAGTACGCAGCTTCAACTGTTTCTCCCTTGCATGGAGGACATCAACTTTCTAGTTAAGAACATTTGAATTCAAAGGGGAAGCAGGAAAATGGAAGGTGGTAGGAAAAGCTAGTATTTTTTTTTAAGTCCCTCCTTTATGTTAGAAAATTTAATGACAACTTGGTCAACTTTCTATTATTTTCTGAAAGTATCCCTTGTCATTTGTTCCTCTTAGGAATTACATGATTTCCTCTTTGACTCAGGAATTAAACAAACCTGTTTTTAAGTTTCCAAAGTGTGTGTTTTGTCTTTTGGAGTTGTTTGGGGTTATTTGTTCTTTGAAACAGGGTCTTCTAACCTAGACTGGTCTTAAAGTCCCTATATATCTGAGAAGGACCTTCAACTTCTTTTATTTTTTATTTATGTATATGTCCCTGTAGTGCATGTGGTGGTGCCTGCAGAGGCCAGAAGAAGGCATCAGAACCCTTGCAGCTGTAGTTATAGGGAGTTAGGAGCCACCTGAAGTGGGGTGCTAGGACCCAAACTCTGGTCCTCTGCAAGAAGAGCAAGCATTCTTAACCACTGAGCAATTGCTCTAGCCCCCAAAGACCTTCAACTTCTGATCCTGCAATTAGAGGCATGTGCCACCATGCCAAACTTATAGGGTGCTAAAGATCAAACCCAAGGCTTCATGCATGGTAAACTTTGAGCGTGCTGCCAAGCATATGTGAGTTTTTTTACCTATATTTTAATTTCTGATTTATAGTTTTATTGCACTTGATCTGTATATATTTGTTGCAACTCTTTTGTGATTAGCATGCATTCAACTTTTGTAAATAACGCATTTGTGCTTTAAAAAGAGCATATCCCCTAATTGTTAAGTGCAGAGTTCTACTCTGGTGTTTAAATCCAACTTATTAAATTAATACATCCCTTCTTTCCTATTTGATCTATCAGTTTGACCCATTAAACAATGATGAGGAATCCAAGGCTTAATAAAGGTAAGGGACTTGTCCCAGACCCCATAGCTGCTGAGGCAGACCTGGGGTAAGAACCCAGACACTGCTCACATTCATCCTTGGGATATTTACTCTGAAGAGAAAAATCCAGCATTTTTTTATTTTGCTCACTTCTGTTATAACCCTAACGTCCCTGTCAATTTGGTATGATACTGCCCATGAAAACTGACAGTAGCTGTGATTATTCTCAATTTGATTCCAGATTGAAGTACAAGTTACTCACATCTCACTATAGTAGAGTTGCATTTTAATAGGTGAAGCACCTGTCAGGAATTCCTGTAAATTCCACCTACGTTCATTTTTAAATAAAGGACAAGCACCTCAGCTAGTAGTTCAACAGGAAGAAATTTAGAAAGATTCACAGAGCCTCTCCTCTGAGGATACTTGAATGAGTTTATGTTCTCATACAACATTGTTTCCATCTTTAGAACATCCTTCATAGAAAACTGTGAATAAATATTAATCACATTTCAAGTAGAGACTCAAGATTGGACTTCCCTCCATCATCAATGTAATATGGAGCTGAGACACAGAGGAATACCACATAGTGATGTTTGAATTATGAGTCCTTTATTAGTGGGCAGTCAGAGAGGGGGCTAATGCCCACAAGAACTCTTGACCCTGAGGGGAGGTAGAATGGGGTTTATAAAACCTAAAATCACAGTTACATCATGCCAGGGACGAAGCCAATAACCATAGTTACATTAGATCACCATAGTTACACCAGACTAGGACAGGTCAGTTAATAAAGAGGTTTTCAGTTAATAAAAAGTTTCAGGTAGGAAAAACAAGTTTATCAGTATTGCAGAAACAATGGGCTCCGTGGAGCTGCAGGTGTGGCTGGGAGAGAGGACCTGCTACCTGGCTACTTTTAAGTTTCCCAATATTGTAAAAAACAAGGTTTTTATAGAGCTCATTAAACTTCACTTATTATGCATTAATGGCCATCTTGTGTTTTTCTTAGTTAGGCCCTCACCTGTTCCCTGAGAGGCCTTGTGAAAGGGCAATAAGAAATACTCACCTTCAGACAGACCAGAGCCAAATAAGCCCACACTTCAGCATTATAATTGTTCAACGCATTGGCTTCAGAGAGAGCATCCTCAGCCTCTGTGAGCTCTTCCAGCTGAATAGAAGAGGGAGACATATGAGGTAGAATCTAAAGTAGTTTTCACTTACGCCAGCTGGAGTCAGCTTAGCTAAAACCACTCTGTCCAAATAATAGATGTCCATGACCTATACCAGTGCTTTTCAACTTTTGATTTATTGTATGATTGTGTTATTATGTCATTTTTTTGTTTGTTTTTGAGACAGGGTCTCCCTCTAGATCAGGCCACCTCAGACACAGAGATCTGCCCTTCTCTTCCTCCTTGGGTGCTGGCATTAAAGGTATGTGCCACCACACCTGAATATTATGTTGTTTCTACCATCAGAACTTTGTTCAAACAAAGCCTTATATGTTGGGATAACATATAAGCCAATTAAAAGCATAACTACTCTGACTGAAAAGCCAGGCAAGGGCATCTGGAGCCCTGCCTGCTAGGCTTTCAACATCTGCCCTCTTCTTCCTCCTGTGACCACAGAGCTTTAGGTACTGTATTCACTATGGAGACCAGGCTGGCCTCGAACTCACAGAGATCCACTTGCCTCTGTCTCACGAGTCCTGGGATTAAATGCATGCACTACCATGCCTGGCTGGGGTTGGAAATCTCAAGGACACAACACATGCATATGTTTCAGAGATTTCTCCATACAAAGTAGGCTGTTGAGTCCATTTTTAGTTTGTTGGGTTTTTTTTCCCCCTTTATTCTGCACATCCCTTTCTTAACATTTGTCTGCCAAAATACTATTGTCTAGAAAGTTTCCTTTCCCCTAATATCACGTATTAGCAGTCCATGTCCTGAACAATCAATACAGTATTCAGGGTCTCTAGGTTGATGCCTGTGCTCTGAGTACAAAGAATTCATCATTACTTCCCCAAACTGATCAGCTTTGTAGAACCTCCCAAAGGAATAGAATAAGGTTCTCTCCTCAAGAAAAGTAACTCTTCTTTTTTCTGTTTCACTTATTTTTTTTTTGGTTTTAAATTAATTGACTATAGCACTCAGGAGACAGAGGCAGGTGGATCTCTGTGAGTTCGAGGCCAGCCTGGTCTACACAGCAAGTTCCAGGCCAGCTGGGACTACAGGGGAACGCTGGTCTTAAAGAGACAAAAAAAAATTGATTTAGTTAATTATTTATTTTGAGACTAGGACTTGCTATGTAGCCCTGGCTGGCTTGGAATTCAGTATGTAGCCCAGGCTGGCCTTGAATTTGAAAATATCTTCTTGCATCAGCTTCCCAGGTATTGGGATTACAAGCATAAGCACAATAGGTCCTAATTTTTTTCTGTTTTAAGAGAAGGAGATAGTTTCTAGGCCCAAGGCAAGAAGGAGGCCAGCCCATGTTGTGTCCTATACTTTAAGACTCTCAGACACTAATTCATTATCCAGTCAACCTACATTTACCTGCATTTACCTACATTTACACTGTGCTGAGCAGTATACTTGATGCTGAGACTAAAAATACATTGCCAGGGGTGGTGATACACGCCTTTAATCCCAGGACTTGGGAGGCAGAGGCAGGCAGATCTCTGTGACATTGGGGCCATCTTGGTCTACATAGTGAGTTCCAGGCCAGCTTTTTGAGACCCTGTCTCAAAAAGACAAAAAAACCACCCTAAAATATGTATATATAAAGTCTCTGCCCTCAAAGACCTCATTGATTTGTAAAAAGAAAACAAGAAAAAAACCTACATAATGAAAAACCAAATACCTAAATAGTTCCATTACAAAATAAATATTTTCTATAATAGAAGCATACTTACTATCTAGAGAACATAGAGAAATAGGGTCAGTTATACCTAAGGTTAAATGATAACCTCAGAGAAGAAGCATCAGTAAAGTGGATCTTGAAGGATAAGTTAAGTAGGAGTTTCTTAGTTGTGGAAGGTAAAGAGAGATCAAAGGTGCCCCTGAAAAGGCATCTGAACTCAGGGCATGGCTGAGTATAGCAAGCCAAGGAAATGATCATTTTTAAAATAAATTAGCCAGGCGTGGTGGCACATGCCTTTAAACCCAGCACTTGGGAGGCAGAGGCAGGCAGATCTTTGTGAGTTCGAGGCTAGCCTGGTCTACATAGTGAGTTCCAGGACAGCTGGGGCTACAGGGAGACCTTGTCTCAAAAAGACCAAAATAAAAAATAAAAATAAATAAAAGAAATTATCTATTTTGTATTTTATATGTATATGTATGCCTGAGTGTCTGTATGTGAATCACGTGTGCAGGTGACCATGGAGGCCAGAGAGGGCATCAGATACCCTGGGACTGGAGTTATGGCAGTTATGAGCCACTCAATGTGAGTGCTGGTAACCAAACCTGGGTCCTCTGCAAGAGCAGCCAGTGCTCTTAATTGCTGAGCCATCAATTAAGCCCCTTATTTGTGTTTTTGAGGCAGGGTCTCACTCCATAGCCTAGTCTGACTTGGAAGTCACAGAAATCTTCCTATGTCAGCCTCCTGAGTGTTGCGATTGCAGGCATGAGCCACCATGCCTAGATAGGAAACAACTGTAAGTATGCTTATGAGCCTTATGCATGCTGAAGAAAATGACAGATGGTGGGTAGAAGGAGGGAGGTAGGTAGCAGAGGAGGAAGCAAAGAAGGAAGGGAAGGAGGGAGAAAGGTAAGAAAGTAATAAGACAATAGAGTTGGGTGAACAGCATCTATATTATTCAAAGGAATTTGAATTTTAATTTGAAACAAGGAATAGCATTGCAAGGTTATAGTATGAACAACATGGCACTGCAGTGTTTTAAAGACCATTTTGATAAATTGGGAGATGATTTCAGGGAAGACTCCTTGACAGAAATGACTTCAACATTTAAAGAAGAGATAAAGCAGTAAAAACAGCTATGTAGAGGACTCAACAGATTCAAGAAACATTTAAGAAGCAAAAACTAATAGGACATTTGATGTTTAATTAGAAGAAATGAAAGAAACAGACTAGATTTCTCACTTGGTTGATTTAGTCTGTCATTACCCCAATTTATCATAATAAAGAAAACAAAAGAAGGAATATGTGAAAATCTCAGAAATAAGTTGTTATATTTGGATATGTGTATTTTGAGGCATCTGGGGGAACCAAAGAATGGTCTATCTGATATAAGTCCCAGTAGGCCTTGAAAAATGTCAGGAGCTGGGGCTGGAGAGATGGCTCAGTGATTGAGTACTGGCTGTTCTTGCAGAAGACCCAGGTTCAAATCCCAGCACCCAAATGGCAACTAACAAACATCTATAACTCCACTTCCAGGGGATCAGATGCCTTCTGTCCTCTGAGGACACTGCATGACATGGGTGCACTTACACACATGCAAACATAACACTCATACACATAAAATAAAAATAAATTTTAAAAATGTGAGGAGCTGAATATTTATGACTGGGAAGCACACAAATAATTGTTAAAGACCTCTGGAGTAGGGGGCTGGAGAGATGGCTCAGTGGTTAAGAGCACTAGCTTCTCTTGCAGAGGACCTGGATTCAATTCCCACCACCCACAGCTAACAACCATCTGTAACTCCAATTCCAGGGGAATCTGACACTTTCTTCTGACATCAACAGGCATTATAAGACACTGGTGCAGTTACATACATGTAGATAGTATACTCATACACATTAAAAAATAAAAATAACCAGGCGTGGTGGCGCACACCTTTAATCCCAGCACTCAGGAGGCAGAGGCAGGCAGATCTCTGTGAGTTCAAGGCCAGCCTGGTCTACATAGTGAGTTCCAGGATAGCTGGGGCTACAGGGAGACCCTGTCTCAAAAAGACCAAAAAATAAAAATAAAAATAATGAAATATTTTTTTAAAATGTGACTTTCTACTTCTTTCAGAATCCCCTCTTCTTGGAAATCAAATTCCTCAGTGGTCGAGTTTGTATAATTGATCCCCTGTAATAGTGACAGTATTTCCAGGTGCTAACAGACACAGATGTTTAATACTTTCTGGGAGGTGGAACAGGGAGCTCTGGACATATGTATAAAGTCCTGCATCCTGGTTAGCCTGGGATAGTGTCTGTGTCCCTGTGGGATTATAGCAATCCCCTTTTCATTCTCAGACATGTCCTGTTTGTGTATAAACTACATGGTTATTCTCCTTATGTACCTATACCAGGGAACACCATCACTTGGGAGGTTAGAGCAGGGGGATCAGAAGGTCAAGGCCAGCCTGGACTACCAGAGACCCTGTCTCACAACAACAATGATGGCCTGAAATCCTTGTAAACATCCAGTGAGAGGCTCTTTACCTTATAAAAAAGGAAACAGAGGTGCAGAGAGTGACAGCTCATGCCCTGTGAGGACACAGGGCTGGTAAGAGGGCAGGCTAGGACTCCAGTGCAGCTCTTCCCAGTCTCCAGCATGAACTCCACAGACACTGTTATGATGTGCCTGGGCTTCTGTGCTGGTTTGAATGAGAAATGACCATCTCCCCATAGGCTCATGTGTTTAAACACTTGGTCCCCAGTTGGTGGCACTGTCTGAAGAGGTTATGGAACTTTGAGGACAGGAACCTTGCTAGAGGAAGCCATCACCAGGATCCAGCTTTAAGAGTTTAGAGCTCCCCCCAGCACTTCTAATTCACTCTCTTTGCTTCCTGTGTGTGGTGTGGCTCCCTGCTTCCTGCTCCAGCTGCCATGCCTCCCCTGCCATTATATATTCTCCCTCTGGAACCCTGAGCCAAGAAGCCTCTTCTCTTTTTTTTGGTATTTTTGAGACAGGGTCTCCCTGTAGCTCCAGCTGTCCCAGAATTCACTGCGTAGACCAAGCTGGCCTTGAACTCACAGAGATCCGCCTGCCTCTGCCTCTGTCTCTTGAGTGCTGGGATCAAAGGCGTGACCACACCCTGCTGTCTCTTCCTTTTTAAAGTTGCCTTTGGTTACAGTATTTTATCACAGGAATGAAAAAGCAACTAATACAGTTTTCTCATATGCTACGTGGAAACTCTTTTTAAAGCTCTGAAGGTACTGTTCCTAGTTATAGACTCTGTGAACTTGATGAACATCAACAGCCTCCTGGCCTTGGTAGAAGATGCCTGTTTATAATCCTAGCATTAAGGAGACAGAGGGAGGAACATCAGGAGTTCAAGGTCATCTTTGGCTACATAGTGAGTTTCAGGCCAGCCTGGGTATGTGAGTCTCCCGTCTTTAGCACTAGGAAAAACAAGACTTAAATTAGACCATGTTGAAGGATTTGCAGATGAGATGTCCCACGTCTGGTATTGGCATTATAAGACTCCAGAGGGAAATGGTGAGGCAGAGATGAGACAATGGTGACCTAAAGTTAGTGACTACTGAAGCAGGGTAAAGGGGAGGGTATTCTCATTATGACTAAGGACATTTTCAAACTGTCCCTGATAAAGAGCTGAAAGGAAAACATGACCATCCTAGCTGACTGTATAGCCTGGGAGCTCACCGTAGTCTCTTTGCACCTCAGATTTCTTATGCTAAGTTTGTAGGGATTTTTCAAGGATTATTTTATGTTTCTAGTACAGACTGATCTTTTAGTTCATAGACAAGTTTGAAGAGCAGTTTTTCATTAGAGCAGACTGCCATCCTACCTCTCAATATGCTTGGAAGACCAAAAGATCAGGGCTTAATATCAGCCCTCTGTTCTCTTACCCGGTAACAGGCGATTCCTAGTCCTAGCCAGGTAAGGCATGAAGGTGATCTCTTACAGGCCTGTATGTAGATTTGCTTCGCCTTTTCATACTGTCAAAAGAAAGTACATTAGCCGGGCATGGTGGCATATGCCTTTAATCCCAGCACTCGGGAGGCAGAGGCAGGCACATCTCTGTGAGTTCAAGGCCAGCATGGTCTATATAGTTCCAGGCCAGCTGGGGCTACAGGGAGACCCTGTCTCAAAAAGACAAGAAAAAAAAAGTGCTGTTAAACTTCTATTCTGGATACTTCAAACCCTGTGTTGCCAAGGTAATGATGAAGCTTCTTGATTGTTTCCTTCCAGAACAATCTAACCTGAGTGAATCCTTGGATTACAATTTCATTTATACTTTAAGGGAGCTATTGCAAAAGCTGTTAAAAGATTAGCAAATGAAACAAAAGAGCAAATTTTACCTGAGAGCAGTTCTAAAGACATTCACAGTTTGTAAGACTTGAAAGGAGACACTGAAAATTCTGGGCAACCATATTGAATATCTCAGTTCCATCTAGACTTTATGGGCTACTCCTTTTCACTTAAAAGTGACATCGTATGATGGGATGGCAGCAGTTACTGAGCCTCTGGACAAAAAAGGTATACACATGACATAGCCTCACTATTGTGGGAACCTGTTTCCTTATTATAAAATGTCTTAAAGGTACTACAGGGCACATGTAGAAAAACTCAAAAAACAAAACTTTCATCCAAGTCTAGTGTCCATATTCCTAGCTACTCAAATTTTTTTGAGAGACAGGGTCTCACTGTGTAGCCCTAGCTGGCCTGGAACTGAACCCAGGTCCTCTGTAAGAGCAGCAAGTGCTTTTAAACACTGAGTCATCTCCCCAGACCCCTTTTCACCTAATTTTTAAGCTAATTACTTTGCTTAACCTTTTTTTTTTATTTTTTGGTTTTTTTGAGACAGGGTCTCCCTGTAGCCCCAGCTGTCCTGGAACTCACTATGTAAACCAGGCTGGTGTTGAATTCACAGAGATCCGTCTGCCTCTGCCTCCCGAATGCTGGGATTAAAGGTGTACGTCACCACGCCCGGCCTACTTTGCTTAATCTTTAAAGTTTGTTTTAAATTATATCCTCTTCCTCTTTTCTCCCTTCTAATTCCCTCCCCTCCCCTTTCTCCCACTGCCCCCCCACCATGCTTAAGTATGAAGGTTTTATTATTCTACATCTCTACGTAGTAAACTAATTTAACTTCATTCTGACTTGTCCTGAATTCTTTTCTGTAGTGTAGTCAAGGATCTGGTTTTACTTGGGCAGATGTCCCTAAAACAGAGGGTGGCAGACATGGATGGAATAGGAGTGGAGGAGAGGACTCAGGCTAAATTCCCCTACTACCACTGACAGGCATAAATGCTTGGTCCTGGGCCACAGGGTACTATCCTTCTCCGGCTCTCACCTCTCTCTCTTCCAGGTAGATGTGTCCCAGGCGCAGAAAGATGAAATGCATCTCAGAAGCATCTACTACAAAACTAATGGTTCGCTCATAGCATGCCTTGGCCTCGGCATGATTTCCACTGAGAAAATAGAGATGGCCCTTCACACCCCAGACATTAGGGTTCTGAGAAAACAGACAATAAGCAAGATGAAGTGGTATCTAACTACCTGGGTGACTTCTGTTGAACATTTAATTTTAGATTACTCAGTTCATTCCTTTCTCTAAGGGCACAGTTAGAAAGACAGCCGTATAAATCACATCACACTGGAAGGCATTTTTTTCTAGGTCTGTTCTCAGATTTATTCCTCAAAGAAAAAGAAAAAGAAAAAAGAGAAAACAAGTATAACTAGGATACTTTCTAGAGAAGCCTAGAAACTTAAAATAGATCTGCCTTTTGTAAAACTTAAGATTACTTCAACAGAAGGTCAGGAATGATTCCCCCAACACACATGCGTGCATACACACACACACAGACACAATGCTTCCAGAAATACTTCCATAATGGCTCCACTTTTTTTTTTTTGAGACAGAATCTGATCATGTTGCCCAGGCTGTCTCCAAACTCCTGCACTCAAGCAGTCCTCCAAGTAGCTGAGACTGCAGGCACACATTAGGTACCCTGGCTGTCATCTTTTAATAAAGCCTGCTCACCCCCTCGCCCATTTGGGAGGCTCTGTCTATAAAATCAATACCAGGTAGTCCATCTGGGATGCTTGTTGAAGGTATTCCTCTGTCTTGGCAAAATCCTTCTTGAGAAGGTGTGTCTGGGCCAGGACCAAGTAATACTCACAGCTGGGTCCTCCTTGAGGGCACAACAGCTCGTGTGCCAGAACTCTGTGCACAAACTGCAAGGAAATCCAAGATAAAGAACATAGAAGTGGCCGCACCATGTTGGTCCCATGACATTCAGGGTGGAGGGATTCAGGCTCCAATAATAAATAATGAGTCTTTTATAGAACAAAATTATGTTCAATTCCAAAGGGTGAGGGGTGAACTGCAAACATTCAGAACCCCATGCTCTATTATCCCAGCCACTCAGTTACCAAATGCAGACATTTCCAAGAGATACTGCCAGGTTGGTTGTACAAATGCTGGTCTTGCTGCCATCATACTGGCTGTATTTACCATGCGGCACCCAAAGCACCTCATCAACCACCCTCTTTTCACATGAAGTAACATCCAAACAGCTGACATTGTAAGACTTAACAGTGAGGTGAAACTTGCCTCTCTAAAATGCTAACACTTGGGATCTTACAGATAGAAATATCTACTTTGAGGCGGGGCATGGTCTACATAGTGAGTTCCGGGCCAGCTGGGGCTGCAGGGAGACCCTGTCTAAAAGAAAAGACTGCCCCCCAAAAGAAATATCTACTTTGTTGTACCACTAAGTATTTGTGCTTGCAAGCTTTGCATTTGAGGCATTTTTTTTTCTTGCACAGTTTATAAGACCTACAAGTTTCATGCGGTCAGACATGCTTGCTAAGCTGAAGGGGCACCCTGACACTGTTTTCACTTTCAGTCTGTTCTCAGCTCAGCTTGTAATACAGAAACCACTACTAATATGGACACCTTCTAGGAGATCATGGGGAGAGCAACTGCAGCTGTTCCCTGCCTGCCTTCTGCCTCACTGACCTGGGAGATAGGATTTATTGCATTGAGGAGAGAGCTTGTTAGGAAGAATTCATGTGCCAAAGGCTCCTGCTTAAGGTGGTATATCCCACCTGGTTCATAATTTTTACCCTTTCTTGAGCTTACAGGCCCTCAAGATAGACATGAGCTCCTGCAGGGTCAGCAACAACTCCCATCACTTGCTCATGGATATGCCTCTAGTGTAGGTGTGTGCTTGTAAGATAAGCTTCTAATTCTGGGAGGAGGGTTACATCCACCTGTGACTGTGTGGGGAAGAAAATCTGAGAACAGTCACATTCTCTAGCCCAGTTGTTAAAAAATTTCTAAATTGATTTATTCTGTGTATATGAGTATGTGTAAGTGGGTGGATAGGGGCATGTACACGTCACCGTGCGCATGTGGAGGTCAGAGAACAACTCCACAGGAGTTGGTTCTCATCTTCCTCCATGTAGTTCCAAGGCTCTAAATCATACCATCAGGCTTTGTGGTAAGTGCCTTTACCCACAGAGTCACCTTACCAGCCCTAGAGTCTACTTTTCCAGTGAAAATAATTTAATATTTTAACCCTCCCACACCTAACATTCTGTATGTTTTCAATTGGTGAGGACCTAGAAGGGAAAAAAAGAGTATCATCAGGCTCCTGTGAACCCCCAACACTCATAAATTCCCATAAGAAAGAGATCCGGAGGGCTGGAGAGATGGCTCAGCAGTTAAGAACACTGATTGTTCTTGCAGAAGACCTAGGTTCAAATCCCAGCACCCACATGGCAGCTAACAACTGTCCATAACTCCGGTTCCAGGGGATCCAACAGCCTCTTCTGTCCTCCCCGGGCAATGCACGACACAGGTGCACTTACCAACACATGGGCAATACACACATACCCATAAAATAAAAATAATAAATAAAATTTTTTTTAAAAAGCGATCAGGAACTGGTGAGATGGCTCCTAGGGTAAAGGCACTTGTGACCAAGCCTGACAACCTGGGTTTGATCCCTAGAACCCACATGGTGGAAAGAGGGCTGACTCCTTCAAGTTGTCCTAACTCCCACATGCATACTTGGGTCTGACTTTGATCTGCCAGCATTCTACAGGAAGGAGAGGCAGTGACGGTTCTGATAGCATCTGTGGAGAGTGGTTTATATTTGCATGCTCCTCACATTTGCCTTACAAATTCTCTTAAAGAGGGCATGGTGGCACATGCCTTTAATCCCAGTACTCAGGAGGTACAGGCAGCTGGATCTCTGTGAGTTTGAGGCCAGCCTGGTGTACAGAGCAAGTTCCAGTTCCGCTGAAGCTACATAGTGAGACCCTTCCTCAAAACAGAACAAAAAATGCTCTTAAAAGTATATTTCTGCCAGGCATGGTGGCGCACACCTTTAATCCCAGCACTTGGGAGGCAGAGGCAGGCAGATCTTTGTGAGTTCAAGGCCAGCCTAGTCCTCATAGTGAGTTCCAGGCCAGCTGGGGCTACAGGGAGATCCTGTCTCAAAAAGACCAAAAAACAAAAAAGTATATGTGTTTAGCATGCATGAGGCCCTGGGTTCAATCCCTAGCACCAAAAAATTACGTTTAGTTTCTGCTTCACACATATTTAAGCTTGCAAAGATACTGGTCTGGATAGAATACAGAGTTCACACAAGTCCATCTACTTATCCTTTTGCAAAATATTCTGACCTGCACAGCATTGACTTTCATCAAGAAGCGTATGGTCTCCATGAAGATTGTGCCAGGAGTTTGGGAACCACTATAAGAGGCAGAATGCAAACAGGCTGCTGAATCTTGGCATTTTAACGTTTCTGAAAATATATTAACAGGATAGAAGATCAGATGCAAAGGGGAAAAAATGTCAGAAGCTCAGACATGGTAATACAGTTTGGTGAATACTCTGATCAAAGATGTGATAAAAACCAGAATCTCTAAAGCAATACACAGAGAGAGGAACACAAAGGTCCTCGAGCTAAGTCTATGGGTTACTATCCAAAGGTGAGTCCCAATCAAATGAAAGGGTTTCTAAAGTATTCAGTTGAGTCATGACTTCAATCCCCATCACCCACCTAAAAAGCTGGGCACAGTGGTGTGTCACTGTAATCTCAAAGCTGGGGCAGCAAAAGTAGGCTGATCCTGGAGCTCACTGGCTAGTCAGGATAGCTGAATCAGGGAACTCCAGGTTCAGTGAGAGACCCTGATTCACAAAGCAAGGTGGAGCAGGGCGTGGTCATGCATGACTTTAATCTTAGCACTCAGCAGGCAGAGGCAGGTAGATCCCTGTGAAATTGAGGCCAGTTTGCTCTATAGTGAGTTCCAAGCTACCTGGGGCTACAGGGAGACCTTGCCAAAACAACAAACAAAAAAACCCCCGACAAGGTGGAAAACTAAGAAAGATAGTTAACACTGTCGTCTAGCACCCACAAGTATGAGTGCGCACACACACACACACACACAAACACACACACACACATTACACACACAGAATACACTAATTTTAAAAGTATTCAGACCTCCTTGACTTCAAAACACAATTTATAGGCATTTTGAAAATAAGACTTACTGGAAAGTCACAGGTTTGTTGGCTACTTGTGTGAGCTAAATTAGAATTCATACTTATCAAAGGAGTTCCATTACTGAGTTTAGATTTCAGAGACCAGATTAATGTGGAAAAATGTGCTCAGCATGATTTCAGACACATCAGGATTGCCACCTTGATAATCAGGAACCTTCATCCTTATCTGCTTTATGTCCCTCATTCAAGTGGAAATACTTATTCCTAAGTTACCTTTTTTTGCTGTTATCTCTTTTAATAGCACATTGGATGATTTATGAACAGGAGATGGCTCCAGAGATTGTGAAATTAGCATTGGCTCCTGGGACTCAGGCTGCAGCTTAGAAGATTCTTCAAGAAATTCATATAAACTGGACAATGCGGCACCAGGTCCTACACCAGGTCATAAAAAAAAAGATTCCTCCTTTGGGCATTGAAAGATTAGGATGGGAAATAAGATGTGCAAAGAATAATAAACACATCCCCTAAATACTCCATGACAGAGCAGGCTAAACTGGGGCCTAGAGAGATGGCTCAGTGGTTAAGAGCACTGACTGCTCCTGCAGAGGACCCGGGTTTGATTCCCAGCACCCACATGGCAGCTACAAATCATCCTTAACTCCAGTTCCAGGGGAATCCGAAGCCCTCTTCTGACCTCTGCGGCATTGCACAACACGGGTGCACTCACATACATGCAGGCAATACACTCATACATAAAATAAAAATAAGAAAATATTTTTTAAAAAACTGCTGATACTTGTGAACAAAGAGCACCAAGCAAACTGCTAGCACAGCTCCTGTCACCAGGAGCCCCACCAGCCAGGCTCTCAGCCCCCATCATGATAACATCAAACAAAAGTTACTGCTAAATCCAGAACCTTGGAAATCCAGATGAGAAGAGAATCACATTTCTTAAAACTTTGTTGTTGTTGTTTTTTGTCTTTTTGAGACAGGGTCTCCCTGAAGCCCCAGCTGTCCTGGATTCAACATGGAGACCAGGCCGGCCTCAAACTCACAGAGATCCACCTGGGATTAAAGACATGTGCCACCACACCCGGCTAAAACTTTGATTTATTTTGGGGAACTGGAGAGATGGCTCATTAGTTAAGAGCACTGACTGCTCTTCCAGAGGACCTGAGTTTGATTCCTAGCACCCACATGGCTGATAAGAACCATCCATAACTCCAGTTCCAGGGGACCCAATGGCCTATTCTGGCCTCTGCAGGCATTGCACACAAGGATGTACTTACTTCCATGCAAGCAAAACATTCATACACATAAAAATAGAAAATAACAAAAAATAAAAGTTTTAAATGATGTTTTATATTATGTACAAGTGTGTATGTCTGCAGACATGTGAACACATGAACATGAGTGCAGTGCCCATAGAAGCCAGAAGAGGGTGTCAGATCCCCAGAAGCTAGAGTTACAGGCAGTTGTGAGCCATCTGATGGAGTGCTGGGATTTGAACTTAGGTCTTCTAGAGAGCAGTATAAGCTTTTAACTGCTGAGCCCTCTTTCCAGCCTGACAAATACATTTTTAGATAACAGTAAAGGCCTGAAAGGAAAGGAATCTCCTCATCATATGTTGGTGCTTAAAAAGAAGTAACAGTAGGAAGAAAACTTTTTTAAATATTTTATTTATTATTTTTATTTTATGTGTATGAGTGTTATGCCTGCATGTAAGTAAGTTCAACCATGTTGTGCAATGCCCACGGAGGACAGAGGAGGCTGTTGGATCCCCTGGAACTGGAGTTATGGACAGTTGTTGGCTGCCATGTGGGCACTGGGTCTTCTGCAAGAACAGTCAGTGTTCTTAACTGCTGAGCCATCTCTCCAGCCCCAGGAAAGAAAACTTTATAGAAATAAATAACAGCTAGTATGTAGAAGATATGAAAGTAATAAACCCAGTGGAGGAGAGGTAAGAGAAGAAAACACTTAGAACCTCAATGAGAGGAAGAACAGGTACTAAGTGAAAGAAATGAAAATATGATTCTATAAAAGATGGAAAAATAGACTGGGCACCCACCTTTAATCCCACCACTCAGGAGGCAGAAGCAGGAGGACCTCTGTGAGATTGAGGCCAGCCTGGTCTACAAAATGAATTCCAGGCCAGCTGGGGCTACATTGCATACATCACTTAGGAATAAAAACATATTCCTACTTCCTTAGAGCACATTTCATTATATATATGATGATATGTTAACTCCTGAATTTACATGGCAGACAGGCAAATGTTTTACTTTTTTTTTTTTTATTCCAGTCTTATGTGTCTATTAGGCTGGGTGGTGGCACATGCCTTTAAACCCAGCACTCGGGAGGCAGAGGGATTTCTGTGAGTTCAAGGCCAGCCTGGTCTACATAGTGAGTTCCAGGCCAGCTGGGGCTACAGGGAGACCCTGTCTCAAAAAAAAAAAAAAAAAGTCTTATGTGTTTAAACTTAAAGTTTTCTGTAATAAAAATTTGAAAAACATTAAATTAGAAATGATTTCAAAATATGAAGAAATAGTCCAGTCTAGTAGGCAGCTTTGTTTTTGAGAAACTCCCATCCTTTATATCTGAACTGGATTTTAAACTGCAGAAGTGTTCTGTTTCCCCAAAATTTCAATATGATAAGCTTCACTGTTTTATTTTTTATTGAATTTTTATGTATTTTATACAGAAAATCATCTTTACACCCCTTTCAACTTTGGCACCCTCCCATAGCCCCCCACTAGAGTTCATACATTCTGTCATTTGTGTTAAGGTCTGTCATGTAAAATTAGTGTCCCCAGATGTCCCTCGGTGTGAGTTCATCCACTGGGGTTTAGTCAGCCTTTCTAGAGTCCCTCCCTTTAAGAAGATCAGCTCTTCCTCACCCAGCAGTAATCAGCTGTCAATAATTCTTCAACCAAGTTTGGGGCCTGCAGTTCATTTCCACAGTTCTCTGATGGGTTTTTGTCTGCTTAAGTTTGCAAAGGTTTCATGCATGCTGACACCATTGCTGAAGGTTTGTATGGGAAGGGTCCCAGGCACCTTTGATTTCCTTATATGTTATGGGTCTGCTTAAACTGTTGATCTTGGGGCTGGAGAGATGGCTCAGCAGTTAAGAGCACTGACTGCTCTTGCAGAGGACCCAGGTTCGATTCCCAGCACCCACACGGCAGCTATGAACAGTCATTAACTCCAGTTCTTCTGACCTCCGTGGCATTGCATGACACGGGTGCACTCATACATGCAGGCAATACACTGGGATTAAAGGCATACGCCCATGCCCAGCTGTTTTTTAATGTAGGCACTTAAAGCTATAAACTTCCCTCTTAGGACTGCTTTTTAAGTGTCCCAAAGGTTTTGTTGTGTTGTATTGTCCATTTCGTTTAATTCCAGGAATACTTTTATTTCTTTCTTAATTTCTCCTTTGACCCACTCATCATTCAGGAGTTTGTTAGTCTCTGTGAGTTTATGTAGTTACTAGGCCTTCTTCTGCTGTTGATGTTAAAACTTTATTGTGTTGTGGTCTGATAGAATGCATGGAATTATTTCAATTTTTTTGTATTTGTTGAGGTTTGTTTTGTGTCTCATATATGGTCAATTTTTGAGAAAGTTCCATTGGGTGCTGAATAGAAAGTACATTCTTGCCAGGCATGGTGGAACACACCTTTAATCTCAGCACTCAGAAGGCAGAGGCAGGTGGATCTCTGAGAGTTTGAGGCCAGCCTGGTCTACATAGAGAGTTCCAGTCCAGCTGGGGAGACCCTGTCTCAAAAACACTAAAAAAAAAAGGGGGGGGGACGTATATTCTTTGGTGCTTGGGTGGAATATTTGGTAGATGTCTGTTAGGTCCATTGATGTATCATTTAATTCAGATGTCTCTCTGTTTTTTCTCTGTCCAGTTGACCTGTCTAATGGAGACAGTGGGATATTGAAGTCCCCTACTATTACTGAGTTGGGATTAATCTGTGTCTTAAAGTCCTGTAATACTGTTTTTATGAATTTGGGTGCACCAGAGTTTGGTGCATATATGTTCATGATTGTAATGTCTTCTTGGTTAATTGTTCCTTTGATCAGAATGGAGTGAACCCCTTTATCTCTTTTGATTAATTTTAGTTTGAAGTCTATTTTGTCAGACATTAGAATGCAACCCCTGCTTGTTTCTTAGTGCCAATTTGCTTGAAATATTCTTTTCCATCCTTTCACTTAAGGTAGTGCCTGTCCTTGAAGGTGAGATGGGTTTCTTGCAGACAGCAAAAAGATGGATTTTCTTTCTTAATCCATTCAACTAGCATGTGTCTTTGACTGGGGAGTTCAGTCCATTGATATTTAAATTTATTATTGAATGATGTGTATTGGTTGCCATCATTTTGATTACTGTTTGCATTCTTTGTCTAATTTTGTGTTTCCACAATTATATCTTCATTTAGTTTCTTTCCGTTGGGGTACAGTAGTATGTTTCTCCATTCTTTGTATTGCTTCAAGTATTCTTTGAAGGGCTGGTTTTGTAGACATGTATTCTTTCAGCCTATCTATGTAGTGGAAGATTTTTCCTTTCCCTTCAATTATAATAGACATTTTTGCTGGGTAAAGTATTCTGGGTTGGCATCTATGGTTGTTTAGAACTGGGAATACCTTGGTCCAGGCTCTTCTGGCTTTCACAGTTTGCATTGATAAGTCAGCTGTAATTCTGATGGGCTTTCCTTTTTATGTGACTTGTTTTTCTTTTGCTGCTTTCAGTATTCTCTCTTTTTTCTGTATATTTAATGTGTTTTTTACTATGATATGCCATGGAGAGTTTCTTTTCTGGTCCTGTCTATTTGGTGTTCTATGTGCTTCTTGTATTTTAATAGGAATATCTTTCCTTAATTTTGGGAACTTCTCTTCTAGAATCCTATTTAAGAACCTGAAATTTTTCTCCTTCTTTTATGCCTATGATGCCGTAGATTGGTCTTTTTGTGGTGTCCCACATTTCCTGCATATACCATTCCTGTTTGTTTTTAAAATTTTTCATAATCTTTGTTTGAGAGGGCCAGTTCTTCAGCTTTATCCTCAGTGTTGATGTTCTGTTTTCCATTTCATTCATTCTGTTGGTAAGGCTTTCTCCTGTTGTTTCAAATTGGCTTATTGAGTTTTTCATTTCCTTCTTCATTTCAGCCTGAATTTTCTTCAATATTTCTATCTCTCTTGTGAATTCAGTCAGAAGTTTGTCCCTATCTTCTTTTAGTTCTTTGGTTTGTTTGTGTGTTCTTTCTTTATTTATTTTTTATATTTTATTTATTATTTTTATGTGTATGTGTGTATTGCCTGCATGTAGGTGAGTGCACCGGTGTCGTGCAATGCCAGAGAAGGACAGAAGAGGCTGTCAGATCCCCTGGAACTGGAGTTACGGACAGTTGTTAGCTGCCACGTGGGTGCTGGGATTCAAATCCAGGTCTTCTGCTAGAACAGTGTTCTTAACCGCCGAGCCATCTCTCCAGCCCCTTGTGTGTTCTTTAAATTCATTGAATTCCTTGATCATGTTTATGACTGTTCTTTTAAATTCTGTGTCCCTAGGGGGTTATCCTAGTAGAATTCTTCTACAGGACTAGTGGGATTTGGTGGGAACATACTGTTTTGGTTTTCCACATTATTATTTTTCCATTGTGATTTTGGTATGTGAATTTCTTTTGTTGTTTGTGATTCTGGGATGAAACGCAAGCCTTCCTTTGTTGAGTTGAAGTCTGCTTCTGTTTGTATTATTGGAGTGCCTTGGTTGTTTTCTTATTGGGTATGTAAAGCTGGTTGGTCTAGGTTTCAGGTTATCTCAGATTTTATATAGGAGGGAGCTGATGGCTTCAGATCAGTTACTCAGGAACTCCCACACAGGCCCAAGTCAGGCTCCAGTCAGGTACATTCAGTCTTCCTTCTAACATTTGGACCCCACTAGTGGACACTAACAGCACAATTTGGGGAGTTCGCTAATGTGAGGCCTGATTTTGGCACTCTCAGTCTGTCTGCTAAGGTCTCAACCCCTACTGTAGGGCAGAGAAGTCTATCCCTAGCAAAGTGGGAGGGGCCTCACATGGTCCCAATTAGTGGATTGGGCATGGCACAATTTGGGGAAGTTCACCACCAGGTGGAGGCCAGATCCAGGTACTCTCAGGCAGTCTGCTAAGGTCTCAGCCCCTACTGTAGGGCAGAGAGGTCTAGCCCTGGTGAAATGGGAGGGGCCACACATGGTCCTGATTGGGTGTGGGTGAAGATTTCACCACAGTGATGCTGGTCTCTTGTTACTTACAGCTGATTTTTCAGCCCCAGCTAACCAGCATCAATTGTCCCAGTAAAGCAAAGGTTTTACTTTAGGTTCTGGTCTCTTCTTAATCACAGCTGTTTCTTCAGCTCCAGCTGACCAGAACCCACAGGTTCTCAATTCAAAATGTCACACAAAGAGCCCTGATAGTCTCTGCTTCCCTTTGAAGCTTCACAATCCAGGCCTCCACCATCCGCAACTCTTTCAGCATAACTGTTCCAAGTTCCACAGCAACAAACTCTTAAGCGCTCACTGACTTTTCCAGTCCAAAGTTCCGAATGCTTCCACAATCCTCCCCGAAACACTGTCAGGTCTGTCACAGCAGTACCCCACTCTCGGTACCAATTTCAAAACACTCTGACCAATACCAACTTGGGGAGGAAAGGGTTTATTCAGCTTACATCTTCCAGGTCACAGTTCATCAGGGAGCCCAAGGTAGGAACTCAGGGCAGGAACTGGAGCTCAGGCCATGAGGTGGCTTGTTCCCCTGGCCCCTGCTCAACCTGCTTTCTTTCTTTCTTTTTCTTTCTCTTTCTTTCTTTCTTTCTTTCTTTCTTTCTTTCTTTCTTTCTTTCTTTCTTCTTTTTGAAGGAGGGTCTCCCTGTAGCCCCAGCTGTCCTGGAACTCACTATGTAGACCAGGCTGGACTTGAACTCACAGAGATCCACCTGCCTCTGCCTCCCAAGTGCTGGGTCAATTCCCAGCACCCACATGGCAGCTAACAATTGTCTTAACTCCAGGTCCTGGGGATCTGACACCCTTTTCTAACCTCTGCAGGCATTGCACGACAGACGTGCACTTACAGACATGCAAGTAATACATTCGTACACATAAAATAAAAATAATAAATAAAATTTTTTTCTTTTGGTCTTTTTGAGACAGGGTCACCCTGTAGCCCCAGCTGTCCTGGAACTCACTATGTAGACCAGGCTGGCCTTGAACTCACAGAGATCCGCCTGCCTCTACCTCCCAAGTGCTGGGACTACAGGCATGCTCCACCACGCCCGGCTTAAATAAAATATTTAAAAAATACTAAAATAAATAAAATCTCTATAGACAGAGATCTAAATATGAAACAATTATAAAGTTAATTGAAGGAAATATGACTTGAAGAGTAAAAGCTTCTAAATCTATAGTCAGATGGTGGCACATGACTTTGAGCCCAGAACTTGGGAGACAGAAGCAGAAAAAATATCAAATTCAAGGCCAGCCTGGGCTATATGACAAGTTCAAGGACAACCTGGGTTACTTGGCAAGCTCAAGGCTAACTGTGTCTTAAAATAAATCCCTAAATTTCAAAGACACAAGATTACAAAGGTAATAGAACTGAGCACACTTGGCTAAGAAGGCCCCATCCACATCTGCAAAACATTCTACTCAAGAGAAAAGACACGCTCAGGGGCAGATGGGGTGTTTACCAAGACAGAGCATAAAACTGGACCATAAAATAAGTCTCAATGCTTTTTAAAGGATTCAAATTATACAAAGTTTATTTTCTTACCATAATGATAGTATATTAGAAATTCAAAAAACAAGGGCAGCTTGAAAAAAATCTCTAAATACTTAGAAAATAAAAACCACATTGCTAAATTATCCATGGTTTCAGATTTTCAATCCTAGGTATTTATCCAAGAGAAATGAAAAAATATTCACACAAAAATCTGTAGGCAGATGTCATCAGTAGTTTTATTTCGATAGCCCCAATGTGGAAACAATCCAAATATGTACCAACAGGTGAACAGATAAACATAATGTGCTATCTTTATACACTGAGCGCCGTGTGCTATAAAAATGGTAACTTGGGGCTGGAGAGATGGCTCAGCAGTTAAGAATACTGGTTGTTCTTACAGAAGACCCAGGTTCGAATCCCAGCACCCACATGACAGCTAACAACTGTCCATAACTCCAGTCCCAGGGGATCTGACAGCCTCTTCTGACCTTCGCAGGCATTGCATGACACCAGTGCACTATGTGCAGGCAATACATCCATACACATAAAATAAAAATAATAAAATTAAAAAAACAGTAGCTGATAGAAGCAATACAGCATGGTTAAATCTCAAAATAATTATGCTTGCTTTAAGAATTTATTTAAATACCAGGCATGGTGGTGCACGCCTTCAATCCCAGCACTCAGGAGGCAGAGGCAGGTGAATCTCTGTGAGTCCAAGGCCAGCCTGGTCTACAGTGAGCTCCAGGCCATCTGGGGCTACAGGAGACCCTGTCTTAAAAAAGACCAAAAAAAATTATTTAAAAGCACACACAAGTGTCATCATATTTACCTCTAGAAGTTCTAAAAACAATTTGAATTTAAAAAAATTTTTATTTATTATTTTATGTGTATGAGTGTATTGCCTGCATGTATGCACACAAGTGCACCCATGTCATACAGTGCCCACGGATATCAGAAGAGGGCATCAGATCCCCTGGAACCGGAGTTATGGACAGTTGTTAGCAGTTATGTAGGTGCTGGGAACTGAACCCAGGTCCTCTGGAAGAACAGCAAGCGTTCTTAACCGCTGAGCCATCTTTCCAACCCAAAATCTAGAGTTTTAAAAAAGTGCAAATTCAGGTGGACTTAGCAGGTAAAGGCACCTGCTGTCAGTCCTGACTGCCAGAATTCAATACCAGGGATCCACATGGTAGAAGGAGAGAACCCCCTTAGGTTGTCCTCTGACTACCACATGCGTGCCATGGCACAAGCTTCTCCCAACCCAAATAGATGAGTAAATGTACTAAAAATGTTTTAAAATGTAAATTCATGTTTAGTGACAGCAGCTCTGTGGCTGTCTAAAATAGGGGCAGATAAAGACATGATTGACCGTGAGGACACACGTGGTGTCTTCAAGGATGTACACATCATCAAAACATACTAAACTGACTTTAAATGTGTACAGTTTATCAAATTTCAATTGTAACTCAGGCAAACTTAAACTTTTTATGCACATCAAATAACAATGCACATAAGTATGAAACACACAAGCAAAGGCACAGATGAAAATATATTAGAACAGCTAGGCACAGTGGCACACACCTTTAATACCAGCATTGGGGAAGCAGAGGCAGGAAGATCTCTGTGAGATAGAGATCAACTTGGGTCTATATAACAAGTTCTAGGCCAGCTGGGGCTACAGGGAGATCCTACTTAAAAAAAAAAAGTACTCAGAATGGAACTTCTTTTTAAAGGATACTTACAGAGTAAATTCTGTAAGATGAAAACAGTATCAAGAGAGGCTTCAGAGCACTAAGGATGAGTTGTTTAGAAGCAAGGAGTCTTTCCTGTTCTTACAGAAATAACTAAAATTTTCAGTACTCATTCACTGAGCAAGTGTCTACTGAGGACCTGCTCTGTGCTTCACAAGGCCGGAAGCTTCCTAGTGGCCCCTCAGCCCTCACCATCTCTGCTCTCTGCTCCTACCTGTTGTGCCCTCCATCTTGATTGCTGTTGTGGAAGAATCATTTGTGGTTCCCCAAGGGCCTATGCTGGACTCCATTTTCACTCCCTCGTCAACCTCAAAGTTCTCTATGGTCCCAGTGCTCTTCTGCTTCCCTTGCTGTGCCTGGAGCTGTTTGAATGCCTCATGGAATGCCATTTCCATTCGAATGTCATTGTTTTGAATTTCATAGAACAAACCTGAGGGAATAAAGACCTTGAGATAAACAGCTAACTTTCCACCATCATAATTGAAGAATGGCAATGTTTCACTTACATCTGTCATATTTTTTTTAACCAAAATTTAAGAGCCACATCCTCAGCCACTGAAGAGTAAGCATGGAGAAAGCTAATCTTATAATGGGGAAAAACAACAATCATATAACATGAAAACAGCATACCAAGTAAAGTCCAGGCAATAACATTGGTAGGTTCCAAGCATGTGGCATCCTCAAAGAAAATCTCTGCTTGCTCATAGTGCTCCATCAAGACAGCGAGGACACCACACAGCAACAAGCTGAGAAGACACCCCCTGGATGGTTAGCAGCTCTGTCCAGTCCTATGTCTCTTTAAGGGAGAGACTCCCATCTACCCCTCCTCCTCCATCTCCCTTCCGTCTCTACCTGTGGATATGACTCTCATTCAGGGAAAGGGCTTTCCGAAAACACTCCTGTGCTTTGATGTTGTCTTCAGTGAGGAGGCAGAATGCACCATAATCCAGCCAGTGATCCAGGTTCTGGGGCTCACGGACCAGTCTCTAGGCACATGAAGTATTACAAGGGCCAGGGTTGTTGTGACAATATAACCTACTTTTTATGCATATACCATGACATAGGAAGCACTCCCCCAAATACCCTAAATTCTATGAAAGCAGAAAGCATCATTTCTGGTTCACTTACCATGGAAGCCCAAATGACAAGGACAAGTACTATTTTAGCTTTCAGTATGTAGTAAAAAAATTGTTAAAGTAACAAAAATTGAATCTGCAAGAGATTTATTCCTACTCTCTGGTCAGCCTAAACTCAACCAAGACTTTATTCATTTTATGGTATATCAACCATATGTAATAATTTTTGCCATAATCTTGAGATGGCAAATATACACTTATCTATAAATCTGAGAAAACTCATGAGACTTATATCTCATTCTTTATAGAAATTAAAGAAGACATATATAGATGAAAAGACAGCCTGTATTCAAAAATTGGAAGATTTAGTTTGTTAAGATGTTAAGGCTGCCAAGGCAAATCCACAGAATCCCTGTCAGAAATCCCAATGAAAATCTTTAAAAAGTTAAATTATCATATTTAACTTTAACACAGAATTATCATATAATTAGCAATTCCACTCTTAAGTATACCTGAAACAATTAAAACAGATACTCAAACAAATGCTTTTACAAAAATGTTGCATTTGAGCTTTATATTCTAGACACAAGTTGTTTGCTAAACATATGCTCTGTGAACATTGTCTCCTAATCTGTATTTTTGTAGCCCTGGCTTGCGTCACACTCGTGACATAGCCCAGGAAATTCTCAAATTTGTGGCTCCTGCCTCAGCCTCATGGTGTTGGGATTCTTTGGTCTTATGTATAAGAATTCTTTTAATATTTTTTGATTGGCTGATTTTTATTTTATGCATATGAGTATTTTGCCTGCATGTATGTAAGTACACCATGTGTGTGCAAAAGCATCAGATCCTCTGGTACTGGAGTTACAGAAGGCTGAAAGCCATCATGTGTGTGCTGTGAACTAAACCCAGGACCTCTGCAAGAGCAGCCAGTGCTCTTAACTGCTGAGCCATCTCTCTAGCCCCATCTAAGAATATTTTATATAACACTAGTAGAGAAGATTTTCTTCTAAAGGTTTCATGTTTTACATTGATTTATTATCTATTTATCATCAGTTTTTGTAAGATGTTTAAAGTTAGGTTAGGGTTATATATTTCACATGTAGACCGTCAATTGTTCTAATACTGTTTGTTGAAAATATTCTTTATTTGCCGGGTGTGGTGGCGCACACCTTTAATCCCAGCACTTGGGAGGCAGAGGCAGGTGGATCTCTGTGAGTTCGAGGCCAGCCTTGTCTACATAGTGAGTGCCAGGACACCTGGGGCTACAGGGAGACCCTGTCTCAAAAAGACCAAAAAAAAAAAGAAAGAAAAAATTCTTTACTCCATTCAATCTATTTTACAACTTCATCAAAAGTCATATAACCTGGCTGGAGAGGTGGCTCAGTGGTTAAAATCACTAGCGACCCTTGAAGAGGAGCCAGATTCAGTCCCTAGCACCCACATGGCAGTTAACAACTGTCTGTAATCCCAGTTCCAGGGGATCTATCATGCTCTTCTAGCCTCTGGGCACTACATGCACATGGTACACTTACATGCATGCAGGCAGGCCATAAATAAATAAATAAATAAATAAATAAATAAATAAATAAATAAATAAAGTCAAATGACCTGAGTGCTGGGGAGATGGCTCAGTGGTGGGTAAAGCACAGTAGTACTTTAGGACCAGAGATTGAATTGCCAGCACCCATGTAAATGCCAGGTAGGCCTGGTAGCCTGTCTGTAATCCCCCTGTGGGAGGCAGAGGGAGAGACTCCCAGAGCAAGCTGACTAGCAAGATTAGCCAAATTGGTTAGCTCAGGGTTTAAATGAGAGACCCTGCCTGCGCTGGATAGCTTTAGTGTCAACTTGACACACTTGGGTTGAGGGAGCCTCAACTGGGGAATTGCCTTCATTGGACTGGCCTGTGGCTATGTCCATGGGGAACCTTCTTGATTGTTGAGTGATGTGGGAGGGCCCAACCCACTGTGCATGGTGCCACCCCTGGGCAGATGGGCCTGTGTTACATAAGAAAGCAGGCTGAGCAGGGGCCAGGGGAGCAAGCCATGAAGCAGCGTTCCTCCATGGCTCCTGCCTCCAGGTTCCTGCCCCGAGTTCTTCCTTGGGCTCCCTGATGTACTGTGACCTGGGAGATGTAAGATAAACCCTTTCCTTCCCAAGTTGGTATTTGTCAGAATATTTTGTCGCAGCAGTGGAGAAACAAACTACGATACTGTCTTAATAGATAAGATAGAGAGAAATCAAGTAAGGCACCCAACATCAGTCTCTGGGCTCCACTTGCACAAACTCATGTGCATGCAAACACACATATGCAACATACACACAAACACCAACAAATCAAGAGCTGAAGAGATGGCTTAGCAGTTAAGAACTTCTGCTGCTCTTGCAGAGGACCAGGATTCAGTTCCCAGCACCTATATGAAAGATCACAACTCTCTATAACTCCAGTTTCAGGGGATCCAATGCCCTCTTCTAACCTCTGTGGGCACCAGATATGTCTGTGGTGTACATATATACATATATACATAGAGGCAAAACACTCATACCCATAAAATGAAAATAAAAACATCTTTTAAAAAAATCAAATGAGGAGGCTAGAAAAATGGCTTAGCAATTAAGAACACTTGATGTTCTCAGCACCCACATGGCAGCTAACGACCTTTTGTAATTCCAGTTCCAGGGAATCCAACACTCTTTTCTGGTCTCTGTGGGCACTGCATGCATGTGGTGGACTTACATACATGCAGGCAAAATGCACATACACATTTAAAAAAATCCAATGACTTGTTAGGCATGGTGACTTATTCCTTTAATCCCAGAATTCAGGAGCAGGAGGATCACTGTGAGTTAGAGGCCAGCCTGAGCTATAGAGTAAGAAAACCCTGTCTTGAAAAAACAAAACCTGGACTGGGGATGTAGCTCAGCTGGTAGAGTACTTTCCTAGGGTGCACGAGGCCTGGTGGTATGTCCCCAGCACCACATGAGCTGAAAGTGGTGGTGTGCCCCTGTCATCCCAGCACTGGGAAGGTAGAGGCAGGAGGATCAGAAGTTCAAGGTCATCTGGCTACATTATGAATTCGCGTATACATGCCAGCCTGTGATACATGAGATGCTGTCTCAAAAAAGCATAAAAATAAATAATCAAAACAAAAATAGAGTCAAATCATCTTATTCATGTGGGCCTCTTTTTGGTGTCCCTGTTCTACTGAACTGTGTCTATCCCTTCACCAATCAAGTTTGATGCTAAGCAATCAAAAGCTACAATTTTACATAAATCCATTAATAAGAAGTTTCGCTGAAACGACATTTAGTTACCTCTTCATAATACACAGCTGCCATTTCAAAGTTTTCATTGACTTCGGCTTCAAATGCAAAGAGTTGGAGCTGCTCAGTGCTTGTGTGAATCGTTGAGGCAGTGCCTTGGAGATCATCTGGCATAGTCTTGTCATTGAGACGGCAAGCAAACAAGATGAAACAATTACACGTGGAGAGGATTATGGGAATAAACTGGATTTAAGATCCAATCATGACATTTAAAACGAGATGGGGTGGGGTGCTAAGGAGCTGCCTCAGTGGCTAAGAGCACTGACTGCTTTTGCAGAGGACCTGGGTTCCATTCCCAGCATCCACATGACAGCTAACAACCATCTGTAACTCCAGTTCCAAGGGTGCTGACATCTTCTGCAGGCATTGCATGCATGTGGTGCACTTACATACATATATGCAAAATACTGCTACACATAAAAATAATTAAAAATGAATAAATAAAATGAGACTGAGGTTTGTGTGTATAACACATGTCTGTGTGTGTATAATGTGTATGCACATTCATGTATGAACACAGGCAACTGCTTGCCTTCAATTCACTCTGTAGACCATGCAGACCTTGAACTTCCAATCTACAGCCTCAGCCTCCCTGAGAAACTTTTATTTCAGGCCTGCAGCTACCAGGCCAGGTCCCACTGCTTTCAATTAAAGACTTTACTCACAAAGGTAATAGAAATTAGTAAGTAAAGCTAAGCATGGTAGGCATGCCTGTTATTTTAGTACTTGAGATGGGGCAAGAGGGTCAGTTCAAGGCCAGTCGGGATATGTGAGACCCTTTCAAAAGAAAGGTAATAAGAGAAAAGAAAACAAAATAAACATCATTAGGAAAGAAATCCTCAACTTTTCCTTCTTCCTTTTTTTAAGGTATTAGAGAACCTAGAGCCTTGCACATGCTAGGTAAATGCTCTACCACTGAGCTATATTCCCAGCCTAAACACCCAACCCTTTTTTATTTATTATTTTTATTTTATGTGTATACGTGTATTGCCTGCACATAGGTAAGGGCACCCATGTCGTGCAATGCCCTTGGAGGACAGAAGAAGATGTTGGATCCTTGGATCTGGAGTTACAGACAGTTGTTAGCTGCCATGGGGGTGTTGAGATTCGAACCTGGATCTTCTGCAAGAACAGGTAGTGCTCTTAACAGCTGAACCATCTCTCCAGCCCCCAACCCCCCAACTTTTAACTCCAGACCTAAGTTGTTTACTTCAGGATCTATTTGTAGTTCTTTCCTCTTGGTCTCAGAGGAAGAAGCACAAAATCTCCCTTCCATTTCAAAACTTGGTCCTCTTGGACCAGGTTTGTACACCCTGAGTTTACTATCAATAGTCTCGTCTCTTTCCTCAATTTTCTTGTTTGTTTTGAGATAGGGTCTCACACTGTAGCCTAGGATAGCTCGGAACACGCTATGTAGCCCAGGCTGGCCTCCAGCTCATGATTATCTTCCTGCCTCACTCAGCCTCTTGAGTGCTTGAATGGTGGTGTGAGTCATCACCCAGTGCATTCCTCAGTTTTAACTTCTCCACTTCACTCCCTCCAATTTCCAAACCTGTGTATGTGCTCAAGGCTTTTCCACATTAAAGCGCCCTATTATTTCTAAGTTGTTTCCTCCTTTTTCCCTCACCATCCAACTTCTTGAGTTTATATTAATCAGTTTGCTAGTAACATATTTGACCCTCATTTCATTTTAGTTTGAATTCTCCCAGTGTAAATGAAATTCCTAGGTAAAGCTTAACAATAACCTCCTTATTGCCAAATCCAACAAAAGCTTCTCAGATTCATTTTTCTTGAATTCCTGGGAGTATCTGACTATGTTGATCAATTTTCTTAAGCCTCTTTCTCCCTGGTTCCTGTACCACCACTGCCTTCTGCTCTTGCTGTCTCCTTAACAAGTCCACTTATTTCGACCCATTCTTCCACTCGTCTTCCTTAATTGCTGGTGCTTCCTAGGATTCTACTGGCAGATTTATTTTGCCTTTTCTTTCTTTTTTAAAATATTTATTATTTTTATTTTATGTATATGAATGTATTGCTTGCATGTAGGTAGGTGCACTTCTGCTGTGCAATGCCCATGGAGGTCAGGAGAGGGCGTCGGATCCCCTGGTACTGGAGTTACAGATGGTTGCTAACCACCATGTGGGTGCTGGGAATTGAACCGGGGCCCTCTGCAAGAGCAGTCAGTGTTCTTAATCACTGAGCCATCTCTACAGCCTCTTGTTTGTTTTGAGACAGTCTCCCTATAGCCCCAGCTGGCCTGGAACTTGCTATGTAGTCCAGGCTGGCCTAGATCTCACAGTGATCTGCCTGCCTTTGTCTTCCCAGTGCTGGGATTAAAGGCATGTGTCACCATGCCTGACTCTGTCAGGGTTTTTTGCAAAACAAGAACTTAATCACACTATATTCCAGTGTATAAATAGTTCAATTCATCGCACCTAACTTCTAATGAGAAAAAACTTTTGTTTTCTTTAAATTTGGGTTTCCTAAGTTTGAATTTTATTTATTATTTTATTTATTATTATTATGTGTATTAGTGTATTGCTTGCATGTATGTAAGTACACCCATACATACAATGCACATGGAGTTTGGAAGAGCACCTTGGATCTCCTGAGACTGGAGTTATGGATGATTATTAGCTACCATATGGGTGCTGGGAACTCAAATCCTCTGGAAGAACAGCCTGCGGTAGTGAACTGCTGAACCATGTCTCTAGCTCCACAAAATAATTTTGTTTCATAATTTCTATAGTCTTTATTTTCAACAATTCTGTCACAATTTTGAAAGTTATTGATTTTTCTAGGAAATTGAAAAAGCATATCCCTTCTTCCCCAAATATGTTAATCTTTAAAAATGTGTTGTTAATATTTCGTACAGAATAGACGTCTCAGTCAGTATTTGTTGAATAAAGGAAGAAAATCACCAAAGAAGGGAGCACTATTTCAAGAGAAGTCTGATGCTTGACAAGGGAAGTGGGGTTCATAATTCTCAACACCTACCTGGTTTAGAGCCACATGCATCTGATCTACCAAGAATACATAAAGCTCACTGATGAATGTCTGCAGTTCCTCCTGGCTTTCAAAGGCTGTTGTCTTCAAGTACTTTTCTCTCACAATCTTTACCACGGCATGCTACAAGGCATACATACACAATGTCATTTGATGACATAGTCCCACAGCACCCTGACAAGGTCTCCCGAGGCCACAAACTTCAAATGGCCATCAGTTCCTCACCTGTTGACTACAAGGCTATCAGTTCTCTGATAGTTCCTCAGTCAACATGCTCTACTTGGCTTTATTTATTATTCATTTAATTTTGATTTAATCATTTTGATTAATTAAAAAATTTTAATTTAATATGTAGCCCAGGCTGGCCTGGTGTTCACTATGTAGCCCAAGGTGGTCTTGAACTCATGATTCTCCTGCCTCCATCTCCCAAGTGTTACTATTAAATACATGTGCCCCAGCCTGGCTTGCCAGAATTCTTGACTTCACTTCCTCAGTAACAGGCAGAAGGCAAGGCTCATGCTACAAGAGGAGGCTCATGGAGGGGAAGGAAACCCTAGCATCAGGTTTCTGTGTTGAGTCTTCTGGGAGGCTATGTGAGGCACTACGGGGAAAGGAGAAAGGTCACATCTTGGTCCAGAGAATAGAATTGTGGTTCAAATGCTGTCACTGTACAACCTCATCAATTAGATTTTCATACGAAGTTTCCTCATTTGTTAAGTGAATGTGTGGTCTAGTGTTATTTCAGATGATGACTGACCAGCCAACAAAGAAAACAAAGGTAGGAGGCTGAAATGCAACAGAAACATGGGGATGGTGCTGCATGCCTTTAAACCCAGCTCCAGGGAGGCAAAGTCAGGAAGACAGTCACAACTTCAGCCAGCCAAGGCCATCCAGCCAGACCCTTTCTCAAAAAGAAAAGAAAAACCTACAAAAGCACAGCAGTTTTTCTTTATCCACATGCCATGGTCCTATCCATGGTCAACTCCAGCTTGAAAACAAGTGGAAAATTTCAGAAACAAACAATCATCAGTTTTAAGTTAAACACGATTCTGAATAGTGTGATAAAATCTTATATTATCTGTCTCCTTGGATTTGAATCATCCTTTGTTCAGCAGTTCCACGTTGTATATGCTACCCACCCATCAATCACTTGGCACACATGTTATCAGAATGGTTATCAAAGTATCACATGATTCATGTTCAACAATCCTTATCGTATGTAATAATGGCACCCACCCATTGAGTAAGTGAGGCTTGCAATTCAGATAAGACAAAGGGAGCCATGAAGTGTGTGTGTATAAGGAAAAATAGTTCAGTACCGTCCATAGTTTTGAACACCCACTTGGAGAGTTCAGCACACAGACACTACAGATGGGTCAGAGAAGACAAACATGTAAGCACAGCACGTTCTTTCTAGCAGCTGGTTCTTTCTCTCCCTAAGTGAGGTTTTGCACTAAGTACTTCATCATATTACTAAATACTCATAAAGACCCCATGTGATAGTATCTCTCATTGTCTCAGCAAACAAACAACCCCTAAGCCACTAAAAACCCTAGAAATAAATGTTAGCCATTATTATTTAAAAGACTGCTATTTAAAACCCATTAAAAAAAATCTCATCATAGCCCAGGCTGGCCTCAAACTTACTATGTAGTCAAGGCTGGCCTTAAACTACTGATCCTCCATCTCTCAAGTGCTGGACCACACCCAGCTCTCAAATCCTATTCTGAGGATGAGGATATTTGAATGGAAGATATGGAGACATATAGAGCAAATAAACAGGATTTCTGCCTTTTAGAGGAGCATGAAATCTGGTCCAGAGTCTAGTCTAGCCTCAAGTGAGGTTTCTTGGAAGTTCTCACTTAGAATGAGCACTACACTATTCAAGACATCATAGAAATGGATCATCCTCAGTGGTATACCCCTTTAATCCCAGCACTTGGGAGGCAGAGGCAGGCGACTTCTGTGAGTTCAAGGCCAGCCTGGTCTACATAGTGAGGTCCAGGCCAGCTGGGGCTACAGGGAGACCTTGTCTCAAAAAAGACCAAAAAAAAAAGGGGGGGGGAGCTCGACCCCCGACGTTGTCACCTAGAACTGAGCTAAGAAGAACCAGAGCACGGCGGCGTTAAGTATGCATGCAAAGAAAGCGCTCTGTAAAGCACACCAAATGGATGTTTTACCTTGAGCTGTTCTTTGAAAGCAAAGTACTTTCCAGAACAATTCAGCTCATAGTTGAGCTGGCACTTCTGCTCCTCCAAGGTCTCACTGTCTAGATCACTCCCCACTTTGGTCACCTGTTTTCCAAACATTCGATGATACTCATCCAGAATGGCTCTAGAAATGCTCTTGATCTGTGTGTGGTAATCACTCACCGCCTAGGAAAACATTAAACATCTGTAATAAACAGGCCTCAACGAGGTCCAGACCACGGATCAGAAGTACAGAACTTTTGAAGCTATAAACTGTCCTTTTCTTTCTCTTTCTTTCTTTCTTTCTTTCTTTCTTTCTTTCTTTCTTTCTTTCTTTCTTTCTTTCTTTTTCTTTCTTTCTTTTTCTCTTTTTGAGACAGGGTCTCCCTGTAGCCCCAGCTGGCCTAGAATGCACTATGTAGACCAGGCTGGCCTGGAACGCACAGAGATCCCCCTGCCTCTGCCTCCAGAGTGCTGGGACTAAAGGCATATGCCACCATGCCCGGTTAAACTGTCCTTTTCTTTCTTTTTTTAAAAAATATTTTATTTATTTATTTTATGAGTATGAGTGTTTTGCTTGCATGTAGGTAGGTACACCCATGTCGTACAATGCCCTCAGAGGTCAGAAGAAGGCATCAAATTCCCTAGAACTGGAGTTATAGGACGGTTGTTAGCCGTCTGCAAGTGCTGGAAATCAAACCCAGGTCCCCTGAAAGAGCAGTCAGTGCTCTTAACCACTGAGTCATCTCTCCAGCCCCTAAACTGTCCTTATCTACTGAGCTCAGAGACCACCAGCCAAAGATTACACTGCATGTGAAACACTATATGCCACTGATCGGAAATGAAACCAGGAAAGACGTAAGTGAAGCGCCAAACAGGTTTTCACCCCTCGGGAAGGCATACTGAAGGGTCCCTGATGTTTGCAAATGCCTTGTTGCCCCCAGTTTCAGCCTGGCTTCTGTGCTTACCTTCTGAGCTCCTCCCATCCGCCGGGCAAGAGGTGGTCTTGGAGGTATCATTTCCTTGACCCTGTATCAGGAGAAACAAAAACCAAACACATCCTTTATTATCTGCAGACTTCCTGCCTCATGTGTCTCCCAGAGTCTGCTTCCCTATTTGGCACTCAGCACTGGTCTATTCTTTCATAGAACACTCCAGATGTGAATCCCACACAGTGCGTAAGAATGTACTGATTTCAGCCCTGGCTTTACCCTCAAACACTTTTTAAAAATTATATCTTATTGGAGCTGGAGAGATGGCTCAGTGGTTAAGAGCACTGACTATTCTTGCAGAGGACCCGGGTTCAATTCCCAGCACCCACATGGCGGCTACGAACCATCCTTAACTCCAATTACAGGGGAATCCAAAGCCCTCTTCTGACCTCCACGTCATTGCATGACATGGGTGCACTCACATACATGCAGGCAATACACTCATACATGTAAAATAAAAATAAATAAAACATTTTTAAAAACTTAAAAATACATATTTATTTGTTTTTTTGTTTATTTATTTATTTATTTTTTGGTCTTTTTGGGACAGGGTCTCCCTGTAGCCCCAGCTGTCCTGAAACTCACTATGTAGACCAGGCTGGCCTTGAACTCACAGAGATCCACCTGCCTCCCCAGTGCTGGGATTAAAGGCATGCGCCACCATGCCCAGCTTTATTATTTTTATGTGTATGAGTGTATTGCCTGCATGTATGTGAGTACATGTGGGTGCTGGGACTCGAACCTGGGTCCTCTGCAAGTCAGTGCTCTTAACTGCTGAGCCATCCCTTGAGCTCCCCTCAAACACTTTTTTGAGAAAACTAAATGGCTGACGGACTAAGGGTTGGAAAATGGGTATCATGTTGTTAGAGTTTCTAAAGGCATACAGAGTTGAAAATCTGGATGTATAGGCAACTAAAGTTTTTCTTTCCTCTCTATCTAGGTTAAAAAGGATTCTGTCGGTCATAATCTACAGTACTTCATTATTAAGTTACAAAAATGCTATCAGGCTCTAAAGGAAGAGAACACACTTTTTCACTGTCAAGCAGCTTACGCCAAAATTTCTACATTCAGTTTATAGGAGACCATACAAGAATCTCCAAGGAGAGCTATGCCTGTAATCCTAGCACTCGGTGGAGGCCAGAGAACTAGGAGTTCAAGGCTAGCCTCAGCTACATAGCACACGTGAGGCCAGTCTGAGCTACAGGAGACAGCACAACAAATCAAAACAAAACAGGAAAAAGAATCTATGAGGAAAAAGAATAAATTAGTTCCTCTTCTCTAAGTTTCATTTCCTACCAAAATATATTATACTGCCTTGAAGACTTAGGTTTTCTTTAATAGGCTCTATGTAATTGTATGTCACTGTTTATAATTACTCATTTTAATCTCATTTTATTGTTTTTATTTTTAATTTTTTGGTGTTTTGAAACAAGCTCCCTATAATTCCAGCTGGGACTTACTAGACCACGTTGGCCTCAGCCTCACAGAGATCTGTCTGCCTCTGCCTCCAGAGTGCTGGGACTAAAGGTATGTACTGCCACACTTAGCTGAATAATATTTTAATAGGCAATATATCTATATAATTCAAAAATTTAAAGAAATAGCAAAATATCGCCATGGAAGATTTGGTGGTTAAGAGCACTGGCTGCTCTGCTCTTGCAGAGGACCTAGGCTTGCTTTCTAGTGTCCGCATGGCAGCCAACAACTATTCATAAAAGACCCAGTGTTCTCTCTGGCTTCCACAAGCATTGTGGTACACTTACACATATGTAGGATATACTGATAAACATAAGATAAAAATGAAAAATAATTTGTTCTTGAGACAGGGTTTCCTTGTAGTGGGGCTGGCTTGGGACTCACTATGTAGCCTTGAACTCACAGAGATCCACCTGCCTCTGCCTCCCAAGTGCTAGAATTAAAGGCGTGCACCACCATGTCCAGCACCCAATAAATAAAGTTTAATAAGGTAAAGAGCAACTGAGGAAGATGGACAATACCAGCCTCTGGCCTCCACACATGCACACAGGGGTCGGCACACCCATACATAAATGAGTTCACATACGTATAAGGCACAAACATACAGAGAGTCAAGTAAAGCGAAGATCAAAGTCAAGTGGAAATGAAAACAAACATTCCAAAACTTAGGGGATGCAATAAATATACTACTCAGAGGAGAATTTCTATTTCTAAAAACATACATTAGAAAGAAAGAAAGAAAGAGAGAGAGAGAGAGAGAAAGGAAAGAAAGAAAGAAAGAAAGAAAGGAAGGAAGGAAGGAAGAAAGAAAGAAAGAAAGAAAGAAAGAAAGAAGAAAGAAAGAAAGAGGCTGAAGAGAGGTGCACAGTGCTTCTTGACCTAAAACCTGAAAGACCTTTTTATCTTGCTGACTTCTCCACATTGTTTTTCTAGTCCCTGTTTTTCTCCCTTCTTTTCCCTTCGTTGTGAAAGCTGTGGGTAAAGTTTGCCTTTCTTTTCCTTGGTCTTCAAGGTCTTTGGGTTACTATTGGGTTTTCTTCTGTTTTTGTTTTTTGTTTTGTTTTGAACTTGCATTTCATGTATTCCAGGCTCTTTGCTATATAGCCAAGGATAACCTGTAGGACCCCCAGCCTGGGGTACCCAACATCCACGGGAGGCCACACCCCAATAACTCAGTCCTCAGACCAGGAGATGCAACAAGCAAGAGGATTTAATCGTTTGCGCAGACGGGCTCCTGCCTCACTCGGACAGAGAGCAGCAGCCAAGAGCTCAGCTCACAGGCTTCTTTTAAAGGCAAAAACCACAAACCACAAGCAGCAGAAGTGGGAGGGGGGAGCGGCAGTAGTGGGAGGGGGAAGTCTAATATCAGGAAACTGAGCTCCCGGGAAATCATCCATATCTAGTCTCTCTCTAGGTGGGCCTAATGACCTGAGTAGGTACAAAGCAGTTCCTCTATGAGGAAGGAACAGGAATAAAGACAGCAATGAAGACAAGCACGAAAGCAGAACAGCCAAGGACACAGCATGCTTTTTCTCAGCAGTTAGAATTATTTTACATCTTATTTCCTTGTACAACTTCTCAGAATATTTTTCTTTTGGTCTGGGGGGACTTGGTTTGATTCCATCAAACCTTTTACTTCTGATCCTCCTCTCTCCACTTACACTGTCCTGGGATTATAGGTGTCGCCCTGCAGCCCCAGCTGACCTAGACTTAAGAATTACTATATGTAATTCTTTTTTTTTATTGGTCTTTTTGAGACAGGGTCCCCCTATAGCTCCAGCTGCCTGGAACTCACTCTGTAGACCAGGCTGGCTTCAAATTCACAGAGGATCTGCCTGCCTCTGCCTCCTGAGTGCTGGGATTAAAGGCGTGTGCCACCATGCCTGGCTATATGTAATTCTTAAAAACTAATTTTCTACTGTACTGTCATGCTTTGTTTGTGTGTTACTGTTTCATTAACTAACTTGCTGGTATACAATGGCCCAAAGCATTCTTGTATTTTTTTTTTTCTCCATAAAATTGGCAGTAGGGACTAGAGAGATGGGTCAGCAGTTAAGAACATTGGCTGCTCTTGCAGAGGACCCAGGTTCAGTTCCCAGCACCACATAGTGGCTAACAACCATCTGTAACTCCAGTTCCAGGGTCTTGTTAAAGGTTTGTCAATTTCTTTTTAAAAATATTTTATTTTGCCAGGTGTGGTGGCACACGCCTTTAATCCCAGCACTTGGGAGGAAGAGGCAGGCGGATCTTTGTGAGTTCAAGGCCAGCCTGGTCTACTTAGTGAGTTCCAGGACAGCTGGGGCTACAGGGAGACCCTGTCTCAAAAAAATTTTATTTTTAGTTATGTGTGCAGGGATGGGGGGTTATGTGGACTTAAGGGCAGTGCCTGTGGAGGTCACAAAAGGGTATTGGATCCCCTGGTCCTGGAGTTACAAATGGTTGCAAATTGCTTGATGCACCCACAAGTCCACATACCCTCCCCCATCATTAGAAATGAAAGTGGAAACATTACTACCTATTTTTAATAGCTTTTTAAGCCAGGCCTGGTGGTGTACACATTTAATCACAGCAATTGGGAGACAGAGGCACTCTGTGAGTTTGAGGCCAGCCTGGTCTACATAGTGAGTTCCAGGCTAGCTGGAGATACAGGGAAGAAAAAAAAAGGCTTCTAAAGCCAAATGTGGTACCACACCCCTTTAATCCCATTTAATCCCAGCACTTGGGAGGCAGAGGCAGGCAGATCTCTGTAATTTCAAAGCCAGCCTGGTTTACATAGTGAGTTCCAGGCCAGCTGGGGCTACAGGAAGACCCTGTCTCAAAAGACCAAAAAAAAATCAAAAAAACCCAAAAGCCTTTTAAATTAATTATCTTTTTAATTTTATGTGTTATGTATGAGTGTTTTGCCTGCATGTATGTGAGTGCCCCATGTCATGCAATACCCACAGAGGTCAGAGAGGGCATTGGATCCCCTGGAACATATATATAATATGTAATGTATGTGCATGAGAGTGTAGTATAAAGGTTTAAGGTAACCCAGAAGGATACCAAGGCATGAAAACTAATTGTCAGCAGGAGAGTGGAAATCTGAGTGCTTTTATACTTTCATGCTCGTGTCAGTTAAAAAAAAACTAATGGCCTTTTCTATTAAGGAAATAACAGAAAAAACCCATCTGTAAAAAGACAACCAAAAATTACTGCTTAGGCCAGGGGAAATTATGTCTGTGGGGACAAACTAGGTGCCTCTCATTTTCACCAAACAGGAGAATCACTGCCACACACCTTCTGGCTAATTCCTCTGGCATTCGCTTTGGAACCAAGGCTTTGTCCAGCTGGATCTCCAGCACGATATATGTTCCTGCTTCTAAATATTGCTGCAAAGATACTTTCAGTTATTTGTGAATCCCATTAAACTATAATCATAAAAATGTTTAGTAACAACAGATATCACTCACAACACATTGATACACACACATACACACACATGCAGTTTGTGTATGTGTACACAGTGTGATTTCAGTTGTTAAAATATTTTTACATAGAGTAATGATTTAAAAGAAATATTGTCCCAATGATTAGCTCCACTGGAGTCTTGTTAGACTTACTCATAGCACTTGCCTTGGAACTATTTTAAGTGAATTCCACTCTTTCTTCCAGCAGGCCTCTTGTGCAATAAAGCTCACTTCAAAACCTTCTTAAATTCCCACTCATAGTCTCCTGTCTACCAACTCTGACTGCTGAATGCTTCTACCCAGATTTTTTATGAGCACTCTAAACACCTTGTCCAAACTTCTCAACTTTTCTTCTTGATGTTTCTCTTAATGATGTCATTCTTCCCAAAAGCAAGACCTTAAACCTGAGTCATCTTTAACATTTCTTCATCAATCTCCCAGCACACCCCTACACCAGCTTCCCAAATCCAAACACTCTCCTGGGCAGTTTCTGACTTCCTTCACTATAACTTCTTCCCTAAATCAAACTGCCATCAGTACTCAAGTAGACCACAAGAACAACCTGCAGTCCTTCCCCACCTTCTGGAAACTCAGTGACACTGCTAGTGTCCTTTTCAACAAGAAGTCTGGCCTGTAACACTGAGGTCTTCATTTCTGTGACTTAAAAACCTCTGGTGGGCGGGGATGCAGCTGCACGGTTGAACACCCGCTGAGCATACAGTAGACCCTGCATTCAAGCCGCAGCCCAGAAAAGAAGATAAGACTCCTACAGAATAAAGCCGAATCATTTCAGCAAGCTTTTCAGGTTTTCCGTAACCTGACTCTGCCTTTCCCTACCATCACCTCTTCTAGAACTTCTTTCATCCCCCTGTACCATTGATCAATATAAATTTTCTCTATGCCTTGACTCAGGTTGTTCTCTGGCACCGAAATGTCTCTCCCTCCATCTTCATCAGGCAAAATGTTGTCTTCACACTACTTTGGAATCACCTCTCCCATGAAGATATCCCTGGGACTGTTCGCCCTAATCAGTATTAGTCTTTGTCTCTGCTAACTCCAGCCAAAACTTACACTAATATTCCACCACAGCATTCACCTAAGTTCTGTAGCATTATGGTTAGCTACACAGCAGTCTGTATAGAGAGCAGGGCATCCTCAGGGCAGATGAAAATGTGTTGCTACTGTTGTGACTTTACACCCCTCCTGGTACTTAACATAGAATTAAAGATGAAAGTTTAACTCTGGGAAGGACCTTAAACAGAATTTTAAAGTGTGTCAATTTGAACTAGTCACCTATAGCACTTTCCACTAAAGCTGTCTTGCTCAGTATAGTCTGATGAAATGAAGTTAAACTTAATTTTCTAAAATATTATGCATAGTTACCTGTCCTTCTGGATTGTGCCTTAGGGGAGTTTCGCCTTCCAAAGGTGTATCTGAACTCTGAGATTTGATGCTAGGTGCTTGCTGAAATGAAATAAAACATGCAACACTGGATTCTTACATGGCAGTGATATTAACAGCTTTGCATTAAAATGTGAGGTAAACTGATCCAATTCACTGAGTGAGAGAGAGATCAGGGTAAGCCTCTGTTCAAGCACCTACCAGATCCCCAGGCCGAATCCGTCCATCTACATCCTTGTCTCTCACTGGTTTCTCTTCTTTCAGATTCTTAGAAACGGGTTTGGACAATGGAGAATTAATTCCTCCTACTTTATTATTATGAATGAAATGATGGCCAGTATCCCTGAACAAACTGAATAAACATTTGGTCTGAAAAGAAATTAAAAAGACACTGAATCAGAGATTACAGAAATAAACCTGAAAACATAATTTAGTCTTTCTGGTCATTTCAGCATCTCAGAGTCAGAGAACAGATCTGGAAAACTTCACAGCATTTCCTGCTGATAGAACATGTAAAACCAGACAGAAAGTTGGCTCCCCCCCACCCCCACCACATGAAGTTATAGGAAGAGGCTGGGTGACTGGCTGGATTCTGAGGTCTCACAATTCTTGTCATCAGAAAAAGTTCAATCTGTGACATGTAACCCCAAAGAATTTTAAAGAACAGAATTCACGTACATATAAGAAGCAGTATTTCTCTACTATTCACTTCTCCACTATAATTCAAAGAATAAGGCAAGTTTAAGTTCAAAATAAAACCTTTGTACACATCAAACCGTATCATAAATTTTGTCATATTGCTTTTTAGGAGAAAGTGACACTATAAAATTTAACAATAAATGTAATTACTCATCAAAGCTTTTTTCTTTTTTGATCGTTTTGAGACAAGGTCTCCCTGTAAGGCCCAGCCTCTGGAGTCTGGGGTTAAAGGTGTGCACCACTATGCCCACAAAAGCTACTCTCAGCCTTAACCAGAGAAACTCTCTTTATAGTAAATGGCAGTGAATGGCAGTGAATGCCGTATGCTAATTGGTTGTAAATGTCAACTGCATTGATGTAGACCAATACATGTATAAAGGATACATTAATGTGATGCCTTTTACATAGTTTTTTCTTACCTTTTCAAAGACTGTACTATCTAGGTAGGGGTAAACATGAAAGGCTCCTCTAATCCGCTTTACTCCTGGATACAATAATGGGACCATATTGACGTAAGCTACACCATGAAACGAAAGCTGATTTTCATCATCTGCCTGAAGGAACAGAAGCAGAACTATTAGGGCCACATGGCAGCATAGCAGATGTGCAGCTGGGACTCCATGCGTCAAACTGTTTCAGGAACGAGCTCTGCTATTTAACTAGCTCTCTAGCTTTGGCACAGTTACACAGACATTTTGGGACTGGCTTTATTTCCAAAATAAGTTTAACAATACCACATCACTGAGATAAAGCCTGTAAGTGGTATTTGTGGTAAAGCAAATAGCTGAAGTAAAAAACACTCTCATAGACAACACATATATATTCAACCAAAAACCCAATCTCAGCATGTTGCTTCTTTCTTTTGGTCTCTTTTTTTTTTTTTTTTTTTGAGACAGTAGCCCCAGCTGGCCTGGAACTCACTATGTAGACCAGGCTGGCCTTGAACTCTCAGAGATCCATCTACCTCTGCTGGGATTAAAGGCATGCGCCACCACCTGCAGCACGTTGCTTCTTAGGAGAAAATTGAACTTCACAAAAAGATAATAGCAGCCGGGCATGGTGGCGCATACCTTTAATCCCAGCATGTGGGAGGTAGAGGCAGGTAGACCCTCTGTGAGTTCAAGGCCAGTCTGGTCTACATGGTGAGTTCCAGGACAGCTGGGGCTACAAGGAGACCCTGTCTCAAAAAGACAAAAAAAAAAAGATAATAGCTAAAGTTTAAGAGAAATCAGATGCTCTGGCTCTAAGCTTTAGTTCATGAACTCTTATGAAATGAGAAGAGCCTTACAAATCATTGGGGACTGATGATGACCAACACGTTTAACTTATGCTGAAATGCTCATCAACCTACAGAAATACTTTGCTGTGCATGTATCTGGATTCTGAAGACAAGTGCTTTGATTAATGAGCAGTATCTGCCGCAGATGAAGGAAGATTAATGAGTCCACTATGAATTTGCAATACCTCATCTATACCTTCACCGCAAAGATGAACACAATAACATATCCTAACATCATCTTAATGGTTATATAGTTTGCCAAAGACTATTCAAGGAAAGAAAATAAGTTTTTAGAGAAAACACGTTTAATTCCAAGCTTAAAATTAGTCTTTTTAATTCTGCCTGCTATCATCCTTTGTTTATGTCATAACATCATGTGCTTAGAAATACAAGGAAAGTTAATATACATTATAATAAAAGAGGAAAATGGTTGCATGGGGATAATAAGAATAGGATTTCCTTATTTATAATTTTTGTGGAGACACTAGGGAAGTGGCTCAGTGGGTGAGGTGCTTGCCATGCAAGTTAGAGGACTGGAATTCAGATCTCCAGCACGCACATACACTGAGCAGCCCATCTGCAATCCCAAGTAGACACAGGGGATCCCCAGCAAGTCAGAGACCCTGCCACAATATATAAGATGAACAGTGACCAGAGAAGACGCCTGAGGTGCACACACATGCACCTCCACAGACATACACAGACGCAAATGCAAAATTTGTAAACATTTTTCATACCTCCCCCCTTTCTATCCCCTTCTCCCTCCCATTAGTTCTCTCTGTGCCCCTGACAGACATGCTTCCACTTTCATGTCATATATACACATGTATATGTATGTAGATATATATATATATCTATATAATTTTATACATCTATATTAAATCTAGGAGCCACAAATGACAGAAAATATATTTGTCTTTCTGAGACTGACTTCTTAGTACAATATGATTGCATCTATTTTCCTACAAACATTACTTTGTTCTTATTTTTTCATTGTTGTTTTGTTTTATGGAGATAGGGTCTCACTGTGTAGCCCTAGCTGGCATCAAACTCACCGAGCTTCCCCATCTCTGCCTCCCAAATGCTTCGATTAAAGGCATCCACCACCACACCTGGCCAGCCATACCACATTTTCTTAATCTATTCTGTTGTTTGGTGCCGGGGTTGGTTCTGTAACTTTGCTACTGTGAACAATGCTGCAGTAAACACTGATGTGCAAGTATCTCAATGATAGGTTGACTTGGAGTACATTGGGTGAATACAAGTGGTATTCTGGGTCATAGGGCAGAATTATTTCTAGTTTTTTGAGGAACCTCCTTACTGATTTCCATAGTGGTTAGATTAATTTACATTCCCACCAGTAGTGTATAAAACTTCCTTTTGTCCATCACAGTGGTAGTATTTTTGTTATACAGAAAAACCTATTTCAAAAGCCAATCAAGTAGCTGGGAATACACTTTTGATCTCAGCACTCAGGAGGCAGAGGCAGGTGACTCTCTGTGGGTTTGAGACCAGCCTGGCTTACATAGTGAGTTCCAGACCAGCCAGGGCTACATAGTGAGACCTTACCTCAGAAAAAAAAAGTTACCTTGAATTCTATCTATCTATCTATCTATCTATCTATCTATCTATCTACCTACCTACCTATCATCTATTTGTATTTTATGCACATGAGTGTTTTGCATGAATGTAAATGCACCTGTGCATACAATGCCTCCAGAAGACAGAAGTGGGGGTCAGATCCCCTGAAACTGGGGTTATGGATGGTTCTTTGCCATTTGACTGGTGAGAACCTGAACCTGAACCTGGGTCCTCTGCAAGAGTAGCCAGTGCTCTTAACCACTAAGCCATCTCTCTAGTCCTGTGTATTACCAATTTTGACTTAGAAAAAAAAAAAAAAACTACTTCATATGGTACCTCTGGTAAAAATACAATGAAGGGCTAAGAGGAAATGCACTATCTAGAAATAAAACCTGAACAATTCTTTGTGAACAACAGAAAACTTCAGTGGTCAATAATTCTGGTTTTCTGGGGACAGAGGAGTTTCCTAAACTATAAGACTTCCACTGCTAAATCAGCATGAGTTGGTCCCCTTAGGAAAAAGAGCCACATCATTTCAGTTTCCTTTGGAATCAGAGTAGAAGCAGAATAAGAGAGTTGGTTTGATTCATCACTGCTTTAAAAAGGGTATTTATTTAAAAACAACAAAACAGGGGCTGGAGAGATGGCTCAGTGGTTAAGAGCACTGAATGCTCTTGCAGAGGACCCGGGTTCGATTCTCAGCACTCCATGGCAGCTACGAACTGTCCCTGACTCCAGTTCCAGGGGAATCCAAAGCCCTCTTCTGACCTCCGCAGCATTGCACGACACGGGTGCACTCACATACATGCAGGCAATAAAATACACATAAAATAAAAATAATTAGCCGGGCGTGGTGGTGCATGCCTTTAATCCCAGCACTTGGGAGGCAGAGGCAGGGGAATCTCTGTGAGTTCAAGGCCAGCCTGGTCTACATAGTGAGTTCCAGGACAGCTGAGGCTACAGGGAGAC